ACTATTTATTCTCTTCTTTGTCTCTTTAAGGTAGGTCAGTTTGTTTGAGTTTGTCTTGTTCTGTTAGTGATATTTTGAGTATATTTTGTTCCTTTGACTTCTTTTTTGGGTCTGTTTTTGTACTTTTTACATTTAATCTTTTTGGGGGGTTAAATAAAGATACCCTGTTCTGGACAAACACCTATGCCTGACTATCCTTACTGCTCGGTCCATCACCATGAGATTTATGTGTTTAGTAATACGTTCACTACATTTGATTGCCAAAATATTTATAAAGAGTTCTTTAAGATGAGTGAAGCGTAGAAAAGCTAGGTAGGCATTACCTTCAACTATTCCCTCAGGAACAGTCACAGAAGGTTAAAAATGAATTTAAAGTTTATTGATTTCTGAGTCAAATCATTTAACAAAAGTTACCTTATGGATTTGCTCTGTGAAATGTTTTGAAAATATTCAAATTGCTCTAAATTAGTTAAAATTTGACCTATTCCCAAATTTCTCTAATTTTTTGGTTTGGATCCAGGAGAATGACGTGGGGGTAATTCATTTGCATCTGACTTGGAATGTGTTTATGAGGATGGCTTCCAGGTGCTTAAAACATCAATGCTCCAAATGCAGGCTGCTCAAGTGCAAAGTGACTGCTTAAAATTTGGACAGGCGTTATTTTGAAACCTAAATTTACTTCTTCGGATGTGTGCATCTTTCGATATTGATATATCGAAATTACATTTCAACGAAATTCTAATGCTGAACTATGAAGGGGTGTAAAGGACCATAGCATCAGAAATCCTCCGTCTCACTAAAGAGTGGTGCATAGGATTAGTTTCTACTACTTCTTAGTTTCTTGGCACACCCAAAAAGAGTCTTTGTTCCAGAAGGGTAACTGACCAAAGCACACCAGATTATATCTTAGTGAAACTGAGAAAACTTTTCATGATAACCTTTATGACAGTTAAATAAGAATGATTTTTTTTCTCGCATTCCTCCCAAATATCCAGTCTGGTGGCAAGATAAACTCCATGATTGACCCAATTCTTTTAATTTTTTCTTTCTTTCCAAAGCAGTTTTTCAAGCTCCTACAAGTAGTCAAGGCAATATAACCTAACATTATTTAGTAGAAACTTAAAGTTATAGAAAATATGTGTTATACCCAACTATATTTTAGATATAATCGATTTATAAATACAATTTCAACTATGAGTTGATATAGATAGCTTTAAGATTCATGTCACTTAAGCACTGTAAGATGACAAAAAGTGTTAATGTTCAACTTTATTGCATTAACTGAAACATTTAAGGATACAGAATTATTCTCCATGACTTGATTGTTTTCTCTATAAACACCTTCAAGATCCTCATAGAAGTCTGCAGGAAGCAACTCCTCCTTTGTAAACACTTTACACAGAATAAATCCTGCACAGTGAGACCACAGATGGTCTTGCGTTAGTTTTGTTCTCTCCACAGAATGAATGAAGTTAACATTTTTCTGGGTGTGAATGAAAAATCAATGATGCTGAGAGCAGCTGCTGTGTTTGCTGAAACAGGGGCGGGCATGTTTTGACTCCAGGCTCAAAGTAAATTCGCTTTCACGTTTTGCCAAATGAATAAATAAAATATGATGCTCAAGTTTGCACAGAAAAAATATATCTTCTAATTGGAATTTCTGTTGGTTCACATCACATTTACAGGATGAGAAATGATTCACACACACACTCATGGACACTGTACATTTAATCTAGTGAGTCTGTTTGGTTAACCTGAAATGTTTGCATTAGTGTCATTTGTTGGGATGTTGGAAAATCATGATCTGTACCATTTTAAATAGAACAAAAAACCCTTGTAGAACTATTTACTTTAATAATTGTGTTTTATATCTCTGCAACCTAATTTTTGGTCTATAATTTGTGTGCAACCTATTTTTTCTTCTTCTTCTGACCATTTCATGAGCAGGAATAGGAAAAGTCAAACAAGTGTCTACAGGTGCTAATCCTAAGCAAATATTTATTATCTGCAAATGTTTCTGCAATGGAGCAACCAAGCTTTTGGGAAAACAGCTACACCATTTTGTTCTTTCAACCAAAAAAATACAAGCTCAAGTCCATTAGAGGCAACATGTGGGTGTACAGATCATAAAACTGGAGTCATAGAGGGACTGCATCAGAATATAACCATACCAGAGCTTTGGCTGGTGACACAGTTACACTGACGTAGATATTTATTGCACCCTTGATCCAGCCTTGGCCCAGGAGGAAATGCTGCTGTAATTCTTCTTTACACTGCAACACTTGTTTTTCTGTGAGTGACTTTTTTTTCTTTACTGACTGCTTGAACAGTAAAGTTGATACTTTATTGTTTGCATTTTTCCTGTTTTGCATCATTTATACAATATTGTGTATGGTTGTAGTTATTTGTTTTGTAATTAATTCCTCTTCTCTTGGTTTCTGAGTGAAATGCTGAACAACTCTACCTGTATGACTAAAATGACTGCACACTCAAACTTGTACATACTACTATTATCCATGTCTTATGTTGTTCTTTATACTCTTTTTTTTTCTTGAACATGCTGTGGCTGTTGTTTTTACTGCTTATTAGGATGTATTAGAAGATGTAAGTTCTGGTCCTAGATTCAGAAGGCTGGTTTGCTCCCCTAACTAAAGCATTTAAAAGTGAGCTGGGTCCTTGCAACCAGGCACAGAGCATCAGATATAAAAAAAACTTTTACCCGTTTTATTTAAACCTATGACAGGACGGAGGTCTTCAAAAAGGGGTCCGTGACTCCTAGGGGGTCCACAGAGGTAGTGCAAGGGGGTCGTGAAAGTTAGACTTTTTTTTTTATATATTCCCCCCCTGAAATTTTTTCCACTAATTGAAATGTCTTTAAATACACATTAACATGAATTCCTCACACTGTAGTAAATACATAAATGGAGGCAGATGTCTTTCAGTCATCAATGCACACATTCAGCGACACACAGGAGCTCTTTCAAGCTGGGCACCGTTTCATTTACGACACCTGTCCCATTAATGAGGAATCAGAATCTGAAATTACTTTCGTTACATTACTCCATATGTAATAGAGTGACTATAGGACCAGTTTGATATAAAACAATTTCATACAATATATATAATTAGGGGGTCCCCACTCATTCTCGCTATCAGTTTGGGGGTCCTTGTCTGGAAAAGTTGAAGAGCCCTAATATATATTGGAATAATTTCGAACCAGATAAAATCCAAAACAGAAGAGCAAACTTCAAAACCTTTCAACTGAAGCTATCTCTGAGTCTTAAGTCATTTAATCAGTTCTTAATCTAATGAGCATAGATTTTTTTTTTTTTAATGAACCAGTGAAGAAGCTTTTTCATTTTTCCCCATCATCCAAGCTCAAAAAGATAACTCTAAAATAAGAAAACTCCTCTTGCTCAGACAAAAGGTCCCAGCTTGGAACAGGCATTACAATGCACTGTGAATGACTGCCATAGCTCAGTGTTACCAAACCTTATTAAAGGACTCTAAGCAACTGAAGAGAGTCCAAATGAGGCTTGTATAGTTTTATACATGGCTGTCATTTTATTAGAAGGAGGTTGGAGGGGGCTTACAAATTCTCAGAATATCATCCCAATTGTGTTGTATGAAAGTGACAGCATTATGTAGAGGGGAAGGAATAAAAAATGTCTGGTGCACTTTATAAAATAGATCAACATAATGAGCCAAAACATTATTTGGAATATTATAGCAACATCTCAAAACATCTCCCACGAAGATAAACCTTGGGACATATAAGGGATCAAAATGTACTATGACCCTAAAGACAACAAACAGTTTAGTTACAAAGTGGACAAAATATTAAATGTTTTTTTTGTTGGGTGGATCTAAAATGATCTGTGAGAACAATGGGCCCTATAAACCAGTTTCAGCTAAAATCTTGTAGTATTCTGGAATTTAGCAAGGTAAAATAGCAGTAATTCTGTGTGTTCTAAACAAGAGAAGTTTAGTTTGGCTTAATTTCAGTGAGAAGACCAAGCTTGGGCTTTAGTGTTGAGCTTTTTTTAAACTGGGAATACACTTAAGTTAATTTATGGATTTGACTCTATGAAGTATAAAGATATTCAAAATGTTGACAAAAGTTTTTAAATATTGAGAGAAATTTACTGAAAAACACAATGTGTTAATTGAAGGAAGAGCTTGTTTGGGTATGACCCATGTTTTTGCCTGCCCTTGGTTTCTTTACTTTTGCACCTTTTTTTCTTTTCCCATCTGACAGACCATGCTGGACAGTACATTTCAGATTGGTGTGAAATCGCCGCCTAACAGGCGGGAAATTGGCTCTGTTATTTTTGGAGCAGAGTCATGGGGGATCATCGGACCATCATCCTCTCTCTAATGAGCAGGTGATGGAGGCGTAGCTTGGGAGGGATAACTGGTGTCTCAAACACAGCGATCGGGCAGATCTGCAGATGAGAGGGAACACAGCACTGGGAGAAGAAAGCAAGTAAAAACAGAAAAAAAGGTGCGAGTCAGAGAAGCCATCTTGAATTTCGAAATAATAAGACAGATTTAGATAACGTCTGTTGTCAGAGCCCAGCAGAAGCTTAGCTCTTGTTTATTTAGTAAAAATTGAAGTGAGCTGCATTGTTTGTGCCCACACATAACAGAAGTGTTAAACATAATCAGATTTTTTGCTATAAAACCGGGAATTTCTCTGAATCCCCCACCCCCCGTTGCACTGATATAACTTTCCACACAAATTGACTTGCTTCTTATGGAGGATGTCCTGTAAATTTGCTTGAGATAAAAAATTAAATTAAATGAATGCTAAATTTTTAAAAAGCATTTATTATTGTTGCATACTGATGAAAACACAATATGTCGATGAAAGTCATTTTTTCTTAAAATGTGTGCATTTTTTCTTGAATTTAGGAGGTAAATGAGTAAAAATACTCATTCAACTGGAAAATCATCTTATTTACATACTCAAAGGGTAAATACACTTAATTTAAGAATTATTTACTCATTTCTTATCGGTTTTGCAGTGCAGATATACAGACCTACATATGCATGTATGTGTGATCACACACATCTACATATATATATACTATAATATGAGTGTGGAGGGTCAGTTGAGGTCAAGCAGGAAATTATCAGGGGAGATATAATCTTTAGGAATCAAACCATTGTGTTTGACAGAGATCTCCTATGGCTGCGTGCTTAAGCTAAGGATGTAGATTTTTTCTGCAGCTCATTTGCACACAAACACAGGCAAACATAAAGAAGCTTAGCCATTTTTTTTATTAATTATGGCTTATTTAATACCTCAAAAAAGAAAAACACACATCACAGTGGAACACATGAAAATCCAAAGGTCCCAGCTAGCAGTCACACAACCTCTAAAAGGCAGCAGCAGCAGCTAAACACTGCCACCTGCTGTTACACATGTAAGAAAAATTGCTGTGCATTCAAGTTTTTGATTTCCAGACATTTAAATATACATAATTTTCACAAGTCAAAGCTACAAAACAATATTTAAAACCATGCTCATCAGTGAAGTTCACTGTTGAATGTGCATAAGTCTCCCTTGCATCCTCCTCCAGCTCCTTCCTATTACCATCTTGTGTCACAGCATTTTGGCATTACAGTTCAGTATTCAGTTTGGCTCACTTTTGTGGCGTGCCAGGGCAGGGGGTAAGGTGGTCCCACAGGGGCCATGAAAGTGGAACCTGCAACCGGAGGGAAACATTACCAAAATGTAGCTTTCATTGTTATTTATAATCATTGAAATAAAGCAGGTTATTTTTGTAAAAGTGATGATTAAATGCATACATACTTGAAGCGCTCAGTGGCTGGAGTGTTCTCCATGTTAAATTCAGCCACAGGGACACCTCTGGCTGCCACCTGAGGAGCAAACATGGCTGCTGGATACACGACTGAAGAGGTGCCAACCTGCAGGAACAGTGAAGTAAAGCAGGGTTTTAAGAAAAAGGCTTTGCGGAAAACTTGAAATAAACCTCCCAATTTCTTTATGAAACCTAAAAGCAGAGGCCCCTACATTTTTACAATTTTAAATTTTTTCCAAATAATTTTTCCCCCATACAGAAATGTAGGCCGTTTCTATCCACATGAATTATAATGATTAGCTATCCATGAACAATTATTGAGCTGATTGTGGCAGATAGAGCTGTGAATAAAAACAACGTGAAACAAAAAAAGCCAGATTAAGTATTTTCTCTTCCTTTTTTTACTTATTACAAAGTATGAAAATTTATTTTCAGGATGTATGAAGGTAAAGCAAGCATACATACATCTGAATTCTTTTTAGCGCCACAAATGTTTGAATTTGTGATGCAGCTGTCATAACCTTCAGTATGAAAGCTGCGCACTCTTTTGTACATGATTCCCCAGGTATGGATGTAACATAGAGAAAGATCCCTAATTTAAATGGTGAGGTGAGTATTGTTATGTTATGTTTTTCTTCTGCTTCTGTCTCCTTGAACCCTAGTCAGCCTCGGCAGATGGCCGCTCACACGGAGCCTGCTTCTGCTGGAGGTTTCTTGCGGTAAAAAGGCAGTTTTTCCTCTCCACTGTCGCTACGAGCATGTTTAGTGTGAGGGATTGCCTTTGAGTAAATGAGTCGATGCAATCAGCTGGTTTTCTTTAGATAGAAAACTTTGAATCAATTTGACTCTGGTTGAATTGTAAAGTGCCTTGAGATGACATGTGTTGTGAATTGGTGCTATAAACATAAACTGAATTTGTTACTAATTATTAATGAATCACTGAATTACTTAACTTTGGAGGGATTTTTAATCATTCTTATCTTCTTGGCTTCCATCTGATGTGAGCACAGTTTTATATTAATCTGTTTTTGTTTTTTTTTAATCTGGGATATTCAGCAAAATGATAAACAAACATGTGAATCATCTTAATGTCATTTATTGTAAGTTTGTTTTGAACTGTGTGTTTATAAACAAATATGTATAAGAAAGCATCCCAAACACCTACTACGAGACACAGGTCACAGCCGTCCAAGGCTTTCTCTGCATGAGAGAGGATGTCTGCATCCAGGGTCTCTCCAAACCAAACCACAGCCGGTCTCAGGAGGCCATTACAGCCTCTCTGTTCACATCTGAAACAATCATGCATTGTGCATATAAAAAGAAAAATCAGTGTCGAGAAAAAAAGAAACACTAACAGGTTGAAATTATGTGAGAGTGACATACCGAGGAAGCTGCTCAACAGGAATCTGGGCGTCTTGAGTATCCGGGTCAGGAGCTCTAAGGAGACAAAGAGCTGCTACTCAGAGATTAGACTATAAAACATGGCAATCAGTATCTCTCAAAGCAGACATAAAAAAGACAAGGCTCTTAAAGCAAAACCTTATCTTGACTTTTGATAGTCCTAAAATGTATATTTAAGCAACTCTTACCTAAATAAAAGAAGTTTACACATCTGAACTCTTAACTCTTTTCTGCAGGCAGTCAAATTACCGAAGATTAGTTAGTTCTGGTATTAATGGTTGCATCAAGGGCTGAAACAATTCATTGGATTAATTGTGATGAATCATTTATTGAAATAATCACCATCTAATTTAGTAATTAATTAATCGTTAATTGGAGTATAGAGATTTTAAAACATACCTTTAGCTGACAGAGCAACCCACTTAGATATGTTTATACATTTTGCATTTAAGATAAAAAAAAAATGTTTTCATCTGTCAATATGCTTTGTCAAGAACTCCTCAAGTCGCAAAGGTTTAGTTTCTCCTGGTTTATTTTGTAAAAATATTCTTTAAGGAACCTTTGTCTATCCGATTATTAATCTATAAATCAAACAAATAATATACAGATTAATCGATTTACACAATAATCGTTAGTTGCAGCCCTAGTAACATCATTATATTCTGTCAATTATTATCTAATTGACAGAATATAATGAACTCTTTATTATTCTGCAGTTGAGTCGAAATTTTAACAATGGGAATTTAGTTTGCAATCATACATCTATTTTGAAGGTCAGATAAAACACAAAATGTCTTTCAGAGGGACATTTGTTTTGAGTCAAATCTCTCCTTTCCACTGTGTCATCAGGTGTTATTTAGCTCTGTGACATTCAGCTGAAAGAGACAGCCTTGTTTTTCTCTGGCATTTCAAGCGGCTGCGATCGATATCTCTTAAAACACATTTCACACCTTCTGGGAAAACGGTCGACACCAAACAAGATCAGATGAGCACTTACCCTCTGCCCTCTAAAGCGGCACAAATAGGGCTCTTGTAATTGGCCTGCTCGTGGCCACACATCATGCAGCGGGTTTTAAACAAGCTACCTGCATTCATACAGAGCAACAGAGACTGATTAATACCAAGAAGATGACCATCAAAACATTTGGGCTTCAGGTCATCTATTTAAAGCTTTTCATTCAGTTTGGTCTAAACAAAGCAAAATTTTGCTGGGTATACATGAGCTACATAAGAGATTAGAAAGAGCTCTCACCGTGGATTTCCAGCAGGTTTTTTGATCCAGCACGGCGATGTAACTCATCAATGTTCTGTGTGATGATGGTAACTTTTCGGCCCTGCTTGCCAAGACGTTGCTCGCATTCTGCGATGGCCAGATGGGCTGGGTTTGGGTCCTTGGTTAGCATGACCTCCCGACGGTAGTGGTAGAACTCCCAAACACGGGAGGGATTGTGAGCAAAGGCCGTTGGAGTGGCAAGTTCCTTATAATAGCCAAAAAGACAGAGTAATAACTCTTCTTAATGTAGTTTCAGATAAAACATATCCTTGAGTTAAATGAAACCCAACCAAACCGCTGAAGAAAACAGCAACAGTTTTCAAAAGGCATGCATCTTAGAATAATCTGATAACTGAACATACATACAGCAAAAAAAAGGACTCTGAAAATATATTAAGATTAACTATTTAAGCCCACTAGTGTTTACAGATTGAAAACAAGCTTTTAATGGGGTGGCTCCTAAATACATTACCGCCCTCCTCCAGATTTACTTTCCAGCACGTGCTCTGGGGTCTGAGGGCCATCTTCAGCTAATAGCGCCTAAAAAGAGACTTAAAAACCAGAAGGGAAAGGGCCTTTTCTGTAGTTGGCCCCAGACTTTGGGACACTTTGCCGCTCCTTAAACGAACAACACTTCACAGTTGAGTGTTTTAAGTCTCGTCTTAAGACCTACTTTTACTCTTTGGCTTTTAACACCATATAATTGTGTGGTCCTCTGTGTTCATTTTATTTGTTTATTTGATCTCTTACTGCTTAGTTTGTGTGTTGGTTTTTTTTGTTTGTTTTTATGTACGTATGTTAAGTGCTAATCACCAGTAAGTGTAAAATAAACAGATACAACAGAGGGGAGAGAGACAACTGCAGATACATAGCAACAGATATGGAAATGTGTTTAATGCAATCCTTTTAATTTCCTACAGTAATATTATCTGACCATCACCAGTTAGGTATTTTTAAATGAATGTTTCCATATAAAAAAACAAACAAAAAAAACTATTCAAACTGGTTAAAATAATTCTACAGGGTTCCTACAGCATAAGGCAATTTAAATTCAAGAGTTTTTAATGCCACTTGAAATAAAAATTTAGGACCAAATTCACAAGAAACACAAGAAAAACCTGCTTGCGACAACTTAACCCAAAGGTTTATTTTAACATAAACCATTGCACCAATGTTTAAAATTTTGAAAACCTTTCCATGCAGAAAGAAAGCTAAAAACAAACAAATGACGGATATATTTCAAAAATTATTTAACTGAATTCACAAACTTTGTTTTAGTAGGGAACAAAACAAATCGGTTTTAAAGCCACAACATAACCAGTGCTAAGCCTTTTTTGCAGCTATTTTTCTTTGTATCGTTTTCTTAGTATGTTTGATCTGGTGATAAGTGGAGGCGTTGCAGAGACAAGGGTGGAACTAAACTGAGAAATACCGGCTGTTTCTCTGTAACTCCATTTTGACCATTTGTGTTTCGCGCTTCGCATGTGACTCCACTGCCTTAATTCCCATCGTTCCGAGCTTGAATTAATTCTTGCACAAAATACACTGTGCCTAATGAATGTCCCCTGGTGCTGGTTTTAGCCATGGAGAAAACTCTTGGCTGGATAGACAATTTTGGTTACATTTACACTTGCTCATATTTTCCAGACAAAAAGTAAATGGCGCATCTCCCAAATGTCCCGGCTGCAACAACGCTTTTATTGGTTCCGCTATTGGGACGAAACCAAGCCGTTATTTTTTTTGTTATTAAAAAAAATAATAATTGTCAATTTTAACGTTTTATTTAGATTACAAAAACAAATTGTAATAAAAATAATCCTATTTATGATGTTTTAAAAATTAAGACCTACGAAAGCCTGATTTAAGACATTTTAATACCAATTAAGGCCTTAGTTTTATTTTAAAGAATTCAATGCCTTTTAAGACTTTTTAAGGACCCGCAGGAACCCTGTTCTAGATGTTATTTTTTTAACTGTTTTGAAGGCTTATCAAGACAGCAACATTTTTAGGATGTTTCATTTTGTTAGTTCTTGTCTGCCCTAAACCAATACCAGCAGGAGCCCACCTGTGCTTGCCATTTTCTCCAGTAGCCTCCTGCTCCTCTGAAAGTTGGGACTCCACTCTCCGCACTCACTCCTGCTCCTGTGATGATGGCGATGTTGTTGGATTTGGAGAAAATCTCCCTGAATGCCGCCAAGTCTAAAGATTAACATAAAAGGACGGTTACATTCTAAATATAGAGATGTAGACACTTAATTAAAAAAATGTTTTACAAAGTATTCAACCAGGTTTACCTGAGCTGGGTCTTGCCATGGCCTGTATTCCCCACGCCTTTCTCAGCTGGGCATAAAGGTGAGTGTTTTTGGCTCCACAGGTGAAACGGTGTACAATCATCAGGTTCTAGAACTAGTGGGGAAGAAAAACATTACAATACCCGCTGTCTAGATATGACATATAATTCATGTTATGTGTGTCTGAGGCGGTTAGATGTTCTTGTTCTGATTCCCCAGGTTTTTACCATCCATAGGACCCCACTCTTTATTCCTAAAGGTACATTTCTCTAGAGAAGGGGGAGGGCAATGAGAAATGAATGAATGACAAACTTTCTTTCAGGTAAAACCATTAAAAATAAAAGCAAATTCAACAATCAAACATTATGATAATCAGATATATAATTATTATATATATAATTTCATGTTTATGTTTGAAAAGGGGATAAAGTGACACTTGCACTCAAAGTATCACATGCAATGTTTGAACTGCCAAATGAAAATATTTTCTGAGATAGCATATTTTGAAAATCAATGTAATGTCTATATGAATGTATGAAGTTTTTACATAAGAATTAAATGTTAATCTGATACTAAAGATACAGGATATTTTTCAGTTTGAATCATTTTTATTATAACAGTAATTCAATTGTGTCATTCATGCATTACTATATTTGCTTTCAGACTAACCTTGTTATTATTTCTTGTATGTTTGGGAACAATATATTTATCTAATTCTTCCTTTAGGAAAAGCTTTTTTTTAACTATATTTCACAAATTTGAAAATCAATCTGCTGAATTTGTTTTTGTATTATTCCTTATTATTATTATTATTATTATTATTAAGTAATAGACATCAGAGGGGACATGAACCGTATAAAAGAGATTAGGATTACACAGTAAATTGGAAAACAGTTTGTGTCCTTCTATATTCAAAAGCTGTTCCAGCTAAAAGGCCTGCCCACAGTTTATTAGCTGAAAGTTGAGCTGCGTTCAAAAGTAACTCGGAATTTGGAATGTTAATTTTCAAGCTAGAATAGATCCATGTGAGGAAACAATTCATAAATAGAACGTCATGGTAGTAAAGGTTTTAACCTGAACCACGGTGTTGTATAGAGGTCAAGGGTATTAAAGTAAAAGAACATTTTTAATATTTAGAAGTTACAGTAGACAGCCTACTTATTAATGAATCAGTGTGAGATATATTCGATTAATGCAAGTTCGGCATTATCGATGATTTGTTATTAAGCACCTCCAAGGAGCGTTTTTGTCTGACACAGAAGAAAAAGGTATAAAAATGTCCCGATTCCGAGTCCGTCGTTTTCAGTTTCAAGCAACACTAAATGCAGCATAGATGTGTGCTAGCTAAGCTAACAACCTTGGAGTTGATAAACAAACAAACCCAGTGTCCAAAAGCGGGCAAGTTCCAGATTTTCGGAAATAAATTGGTATTTTATCTGTCGTGGGTGTTTAAAGCTCCTAACCCACCTGTCAAACCAAACTCAGGACAACCAGTTGACTCGTATCAAGCTGGGTGTCGGTCTTCTTCTTCGTTATTTTTATTTCGGATTCTTCTTCTTCTTTTGGTTTAATTATCGCCATCAACTGGTAGGAAAGTGGACCACAAGAAAAAAAAAAGAAAGAAAAGAAAAAAAAACTAAACAAATGTTAAATGAATATTTTGAAATTTGTTAATTTACTATCTTGAAAGTTGTTTAATGGCAGATTAAAACCTTAACTTTTTGGTGCATACCGCCACCGGAGTATGTAGCTTGGGCCATATCAATGTGATGATTACATTATATCTATAATTTCCTTTCCTTTCTTTCTCACATTGTTTTTATTATCCTTCCTTTTCTCGTGTCACAAACTTTTTTATATATAATATTTATCTCAGAATTCTGACGTTTTCCTCATATTATACTGAAATAAAATCTGTTTTATTTATTTATTTATTTATTTATTTTTTTTATTTTTTTTTTTGAGGGGCCCTAATCCTCTTGAGTATCAAACGAATCATATCAAGGCTTTTTGTTTTGTTTTGTTTTGTTTTTGCACCATGTTTTTTTCTCCCTACATCTGATCATAGCTGCACAGCTACACCTTAAGAAATGGAAATGTCATGTCAAATGTACAGAACGAAATTTAGCTTTATACTCTATGTGTATACGAAATGACAATAAATGTCTAAGTCTAAATTCTCCATCTTGTCCTTGGAATTGATCACCTGGAAGAAAATGAGCCTGTCATGTTACAAATCAAAAGACCAGCAGAGGGCGCTGTTACACCTGTGTGTGTCCATGGTCATCCAACAGTGAAGCAAAATTGCCCAATTTTTTTTATCTACTTCTCCATAGAAACATTAAGTGCCGTTCGTTGGTTACCAACATAAACAAATACTTTTTTGAGCGTACTCACTGTACAGAGCAGTACACAGAAAAATTGTTAAACTGATGCAGATTTCTATGACAGAAAGTGTCTTTTAGTATAACATAATGTTTATAAAATGCAATTCCCTTTCTGGTGTAATTTGCAACAATAACTAGTAACCCTTAAGCACTTTTAATATATTTTTGAAGAACATTTTTTGCTATTTTTTAAGTATTTGAGTTCATGTATGAGTTTCAATGTAAACCAATTCAAACCCGAGGAGGAAAGTGCTGCTATCAACAAAGTTATTTAACTGTTAAAATACGCTGATTAGTTTTTTGTTTTTTTCAAGAACTTGTAAACAAAAACCTGAAGAACAGTTTTAAGTAGACATAACCCATTCTGGCTTTAATTGATACCTCACAAGTATAATTTTTTTAAGATTTAAAATGTTTTGAATAAAACAAAGAACCTTGTGTTACACCATAGGTAAAACGAATTTTAAAAAAGTCAACTTTACATATTAAAAAATTGTGATATCGCTTAAAACATATATCAAAGAGTATGAGACCTCATGAATCTAACACCCCTTTTATCAGCACAGCATGATCAATAGTGTCAATTTAGTATACAGTACAGGAGCAAATTTGTTATTGCTCACTTTATTGCTAATAATTTTAAAAAGCTGTATTGCTGTCACGGTTGGACCTTTCTGTTTATAAAATATGGTAATAAAATTTGTATTTGATTTACATTTTTTAATTATTTGCTGTCCAGCAATTTTAAGCATTATACAGACTTACTTTTTGAAATTGTCTGGATACAACACATCGGATTTTATCAACAACAGAAATATATATATATATATATATATATACTATACTATATGTATATAGCATTCTCATTCAAGTTTCATAGCATTAGGAGTGCTGTCCTTTTGGTGTATTTTATAGTAACGGTTTTCTTTTCCAACCCTTACATCACTGGACTTCATCATAGCAATGTTCACAAAATGTCAACTGAAGCAAACTTGAAAAGGTTACAGTTCTAACAGGATGCACTGGGAGTCTGGTGGATGCCATTTTCCTCACTATTAAGACCCAGTGAGTAGAGGATTAAAATTAACACTTTGTTTTTATTTCTTATTTCTAATATATACCCAAAGGTGTAGTTGATATAAAGAGGTATTAGCTTGATAAGTACTGCATACGTTAAATCTATTCTGGAACACTTGTCAACAAATATTCATGGATGTGTTAAGTACTTAGAGAATATGGTGTATTGGTGAATGAGCAAAATGGCTCTAGATATACAGGAGACTGTATTTATTGCATTCATAGTTTAACCACAATAATAAGATCACAGTTAATTGAAAAGCAAAATAGCTATGATTGTTTTTGAGAAAGCTTTCAAGTCAATTAATAGAGACCTTCTTCACTGTTAGCCCTTTTTTAAAATCCTTTTTATAGTCTAACGAATATTGACTTTCATGTTTACATCATCCTTTTTCACTGGTTGGTTTCCTGTTCCTTATTTGGTAAAGAAGATATATTTTTGGCCACAATAGGTTATTTTTATATCAGTAACCCACTGAAGAAATAAATTAGGCTTACTGCCCCATTCACAGTACAATTACCTTCACCTTTCAGACTCTTTCTAGTTCTTCCATGAAGCATTGGTATTTCTCAAGTGTCTTAAGTTTTATTTATTTTTTCCTGATGTTTCCATAATTTGGGATGACCACATCGATCATGACAGTCCTCCTTTGCTGCTTATAAATGATGGTTGAATGGCCATCCTCGCTCTGTCGTTCTTCAACACTTTGGAAGATGGCTCTGATTTTAACCTTGGGGTCCCAAGTTTGTACCCTGCAAAGATGTTCCTACGCTATACTATCTTCTGCTTCTGGGGTCTTCTAGCATTGTAGATCTGGGCCTCTAATCCTCTGGTGTTCAGGAACTGCTCCTGTGCTGCCATGATCAGTGCTTCTCTGCTGTCCTGTAGCCTGGTCGTCTCTAGCCATTGGTAGGAATTTGTCATATCTGCCACTCCAGCTATCTGTTGGGGATACATCTCATAAAGGGTTTTACCTGCCATGATGTTTCCTCCAGTTCCTTTGCTTCCATTTTCCATTATATGAAATATTCACAGTGCTTCAATCTTTGGGGCCATCTTCCTGATATATAGTCTTGGCGCCTGGATGGTTCTTTTGCATCTGTGGCCCTGATGCTCACTCGGACTCCACCTCCTTCTTTGGTCTTGGGCATATAGTTTGTGGATATGGATTTGGGGTCCAATCCAACATGCATGGTGGGTAGCTTTTTGTTTTACTATGAGTGGTGAGAATCTCCTCCTTTGGCAAGCATATACTGCAACCCAGTAGGGTATCTGATTACTGGCAAGGCATAGCTGCTAATTTTCCAGACCTTGTCCTTACAATTTAGCTGACTTCTCAGAACTTGCCTTACTTGTTGCAGGTATTTGTCTGTTGCTGCTTTCATAGTGGCCTCCTGTGGTTCCTATTTGACTGTGGTATTCCAAGGTACTTATAGCTCTTTTTACACATGCTATTCTCCCACTGGGAGCATGATCTCCACTCTGTGGATTATTTCTCCTCTTTTTGGCCACCTCCATCCACATTTCCTCAGCCTAAATGAGATTACAATGTCCATTTTGTAAATCCTGATGGTGTGGATCATGGAGTCAATGTCTCGCTAACTCTTACCATACAGCTCTATGTCATCCATGTACAGGAAGTGGTTGATAGTGGCCTTATTTCTGAGTGAGACTGTTTTGCCAACCAGTAATTGGTGTATGGCTCCTCTTGTGCCATTACCAGTAGTTCTCTGTGTTTCTGCCATGTGTTGATCTATTTGCCAATGTATCGTTGCTCCCATGATGCCAGGTTATTGGCTGGTTATAGACAGGTCATTATAGTATTAAGATTCTCTCCTTTTGGGGGCCTTTCTTTAACAAAAATGTTTGGGCCTTTGATCAGCCATTCAGTGTGGGTCAATTTTAAATAACTGAATCTTGTGCTACGTGCATAAAAATAAAGTGGTCTGCAGAACCACTGCTTTATTGCCAATAATAATAATAAAAATAAATAAAAAATATGTATATATATATATATATATATATATATATATATATATATATATATATATATATATATATAGACCTGTTTTAAAGACTTTGCATCAAAGCTGGATCAGCCTGTAGTGTGTTTTTCCACTTTAATGTTGTGTGTTGTGTTGTGTCCAAATCCAGGCCACCATTGGTTAATACATTACATTTCCATTAAGGATTTTTGTGTTGTCAACAGATTGAAATTTGCACAAAACACAGTCGTTGTGGTTTTCCCCTTCTGGACTTTGAGTTTTTGGTTCTGAATTTGCCAAGTAATTAGTTTTTTGTTTATCTTTGGTTTCTTTTCCATTTTGTGTTATATTCAAAATTATAAAGGACAATCTTCTATTTCTGGTCAGATCATCAAAATAAGTGGTCCTCCTAATTATCAATCACTATGGTGATATGTTTACGGAAGGCTTTTCTATGCGCTCTCCCCATTAGCTATGTTTTTCTGCATATGCGCACTTTCAGGCATATATCTGTGATGAGCTACGGTTTTGGACAGTTTTAAAAGCTCACCTTTCTCACGAAGTGTATGAGAAGAAATGAAAGGCCTCAGAAGAGGCAGATATGTCCCAGAAAGCTTTGTGTGGATAGCTCTCCTTGCAAAGCATTATGGCATTTGCTGTCACAGCTACCTGCTGTCATAACAAAGATGGTGGAGGGACCACGCTGTGAAAGAGGAGTTACGTGACCAATGGAGCAAAAAGCAGTGACCATCTTTCCGAACGGTCAGTTAACTGACTTTGCTATGAAGTCCACTATAGTCCCGGCTGTATGTGGACACAGTACACTAATATGAGCTATGAGAACAGCACTTTTCTTTTTTTAGTTGGAGAGAGTGGTTCTTTTAAAAAACCCACTATCTGTTGCCCCCTTTGTGCCTGTCTCCTTTCTCCTAGCTCCCTTCTAGTCTCTTCCATCCACACCTGCTCCATATCAGCTGATCACCTCAGGCTTTATTCTGTCTCCCATATATACTCTCCCTGTGCAGTTCTTCAGTGCTTGTTCCTTGTTGTTACTTAGCTCCCAATGTGTGTATTCTCCTTACTACTAATGGTTTTTTGCTTTGATTCTTGTATTTTGTTTCTTTGACTACA